AGAATAGAATAGAATAGAATAGAATAGAATAGAATAGAATAGAATAGGAATAGGAATAGGAATAGGAATAGGAATAGAATAGAATAGAATAGAATAGAATAGAATAGAATAGAATAGAATAGAATAGAATAGAATAGAATTAATTTAGATCTCCATATTTCCTTGGAAGTGTGTTTGGTTTTGATATATATAATGCTATTTAAAACTTTACAATATCATATTTAAATATTTAAATATAATGTTTGAGCAGGTGTGTACATGTGGCTGGATGAATATCTTCATATATGAAGAACAGCTGCAGATTTTGGTTCTGGCTGGCTAGTCTAAAGAAAAGAAGAATTAGGGGTGACATGATAGCAGTATTTCAATATTTGAGAGGCTGCCACAAAGAAGAGGGAGTCAAGCTGTTCTCCAGAAACTGATCAAAGAGAGAAGCAACCTGGAATCAAGGAGTAATTGGATAGTAAGGACAATTAACCAGAGGATCAGCTTGCCTTCAGAAATCGTGGGTGCTCCATCACTGGAGGTTTTTAAAAAGAGACTGGACAGTCACTTGTCTGAGATTGTATAGGTGCTCCTGCTTGAGCAGGGAGCTGGACTAGAAGACCTCCAAGACCCCTTCCAGCTCCTATTCTATTCTATATATTGGCCATATCTTCATTCAATGGCTATTAACTCTGTTAATAAAAACTTATCGATTTCCTATCAGTCAGACTAATCTAGTCCTTTCCTTTTTCATAGTATAGCTTGAATTTAAGACGAAAGGGCGCATTTTGTTGGGGTTTTTGTTGTTTGTTTTCCTTTCTGGAATGCCATTTCTGAATATAATTTCTGATGGGGTGGTGAGTTCTGGAAGTTACTAGAAATGCCCTGTCTTTCACAGCTGCTGCTGAGAGATCTCCTCTCCAAGGATTATGGAGTGAAGCCATTTGTTCCAGAGTTTCAAATGTCTCATTCTTCCTTAAATAGAAAGGCAAGAAGGGCTTGTATATTTTGGCAGGGTGGGCAAAGCACCATAGTCATTGCATTTTTGCCTTGAAAAGCTCCAACATTGAATTTTGCCAAAGGCTGATGTAAAATTTGGTTGTGAGGTTTTGAGAATTTTTAAATTGCATTGTTTGTGCCCAATTACAAACCATGTGATTAGTCTGGAAATTAGCCTCTCACCCCTGAGGTTCTTGCTCAGTGTGCTTTGATCCTTGGCTCTTAACTATTTCATTGAGCTATATATATACCTCTATCTTAACTCCAGGCAGCCAGTCCCTCCAACTTATTCCAAGAGAAAGTGAGAGAGAGAGTGTGTGATTAAGTGATCCAGAAGGAAAAGTTGGTGACGATCTCAAGAATTGGGAAACTGCAAGGTAAGGAAAGGGAAGCATAAATGGGGATTTAATAGCAAACAGGATGGCAAAATATCCAATAGCAAAACCCAAGGGAATATTTTGCTTGCATGGCAAGGATTATTACAACTGTGTGCACACACTGTGGTTGGATTTTTTTTCCTTCTCATCAGATGATTGAGACAATTCCCAAAGGCATCTAAAAATTGTCCAAGTATAGAGGGTGTAGATATTTTTTCGTTTGCAACTAACACAATAAAGATTTTCAATATGGGGCCAGAAATATGAAGTTTGAAACCAATAAAGCAGTGGATTTATTGGTACTGGAATGGGATCATAGAAATACCGTTTAATTAGTTTTATTCTTTGCGTCAAACAGTGTTTCATAGTAACTTCACAGGATTCTGGTGAACATAAGAGATTACTTGATTATGATAATCCATTTCTGAAAATAACACTGTTTATTTAATGAGAACCAGCCTGATATAGCAGCTAAAGATACTTAGTTAACAACCAGGAGACTGTGAGATCTGTTCCCACTTTAAGCACAAAATCAGCTGGGTGACTTTGGTTTAGTCCTTCTCTTTCATCCCTAAAAAGAAAAAAAGGCAAAGATGAACCACTTCTGAAAAATGTTGTCAAAAACTTCAGGGACCAGAAGTCAAGAATGAAAAAAAAATGTTGATTTATAGGATTTATAACTTTTTATCAGTGAATGGTCTCATAAATGTATGAAGATATACCATAGGCTGTCTTCAAACTAAAGTCTACTACTTTAGATACATGAATTATATATAATTATATATAAATGATGTCCAAACATAATTAAGAATGTATTGATGAAGATGGATGAGAACTATGAAAGAGATGCAAAGTTAGGTATACTTTACAAAGTGATATGGGTAAAGTACAGGTAGTCTTTGACTTACAACAACAATTGCACCCAAAATTTCTGTTGTTAAATGAGGCAGTTGTTAAGTGAATTTTGTTCAGTTTTATGACTAACCTAAATAAAATTCACGATGCAGCCTTCAATCTGACAGAGATTGCGTTGCCCAAATGTAAGACTTTGGTTCTTGTGGCTGATTATATTCCAGTCTGGGATTGCTTATTTAATATGCATTTTTATTAATTGTATTTTATCTGGAGATCACCTAGAACTGAAAAACCTGGTCTGATTTTCTCTAAAAGTCCTACTGGTGTTCAACCCATTTTTACAGGTGGTTTGGTCTTCTACGTGGACTCACTTCGTTTTCTAGCTATTCCTTGCATGTCTTCCTTTCCTCCACCCCACAGAAAATCTTAAGAAAGAAAAGAGAGAATCGTTCTTTCCTTAGTCTTTTCCTTAGTAATGACAGGGCCATGTGACTAGAGGCATCCCTTAAAAGGCCCATTTGTTTCTTTTCTAGATGGAGGACCCTGTACAGCTGAAGGAAGAAGGGAATAAGTTCTTTCAAGGCAATGATTATGAGAATGCTATTAAAAGCTACTCCAAAGCACTTAAACTTGCTAAAGATCCATCACTCCAGGCTGTGTTATATCGAAACCGAGCAGCATGTTTTCTGAGAAAGGTAAGGAAATGTTATGGGGAGGTTGAGGGAAGACTCTTGAAATGCAGATAAGGAGTGTCAGAGAAGTCAACAATCCACAATGTAAAAATGCCTCTAGGAGGCAAGCCATATGATATTGAAATGGTACATCTGCCCCCCAAGTGCCATTATCTCCCAAGAGAATCCAAAGGTTGCACAAACTTTTAGAGTTTGCCAAGATCTTGTGAGATTTTTGACAACTTCTCATGAGAATTTGTGAGATCCAAGAGTTCTTTTTCCACTAATGTTGGATGTCACAAGGGAAGTTCATTATTGATGAGAACCTGACAGAAGAGAAATAAACATATAGACACACAATCCATGCAATTGTCCCAAAGGTGCTTTTTAAAGAAGCAACTGGACTTTCTGTTTTTTCTTTGAAGATATTTTGCTTCTTATCCTAGAAGCTTCTTCAGAGCTTTTTAATATGTTTAACCACTGAATTAATCAGCTGACTAAAACAGTTGTAGCAAAATTCTATGAAGATTTTTTTAATAATAATCCCTGCAAAAGAATGCTTAATTCTGAGTGAAGGTGCAGGTACTCTAAATCAGGAGATTTAGAGTACCTGTACCTGCAGATTAGACAGGTACTCTCAATGATGGGATTCAACCAGTTCGCACCAGTTCGGGAGAACCGGTTGTCAACTTTCTGAACAGTTTGGTGAACTAGTTGTTGAAAAAAATCATTAGGGCAGAGAATCGGTTGTTAAATTATTTGAATCCCACTGCTGGGTACGCTAAATCAGGAGATTTGTTTCCCAGGTCACTACATTCTATACTAATGTATTTGACTGTAAGTCCCATTTAATTTCAAGGGGCAACTACAGAATTATTTATCTGAGCTCTTCAGCCATTTTCTTCTCATTCCATTCTATGACCATTTCATTTGTTTTTATCTCTTGATGTTAATCATCCACTTAATCATTTTGGAAATTAACAAAAAAGTGGTTAGCTGGTCTGTTTAAAAATTAATAAACACAAAAAAGGATTCTCATATATAGATACTGAAGATGATTGGTCTGTTAGGCAGTCAACTTTCAAGAGATAAAAATGACAAAATGCGAAGACTGGAGAAGGAGGGAATTTGGTTCATATCAAACTAGAATAAACATACCATGAGCAGCCTTCTTAATCACTAATAAATATCCCTTTTTTCTTTGAAAAATATAGGAAAAATATGCCCAAGTGACAACAGATGCAACTAAAGGTAAGTTAAACTATGGCTAAAATATTCTGGATGCTTCATTAGGATTTGGAGATATCCAATAGTTGAGTTTTAATCAATCCTTTGAAGCTGCAGCTGTAGCTTCTTGAACCCAAGAAAAAAGATAAGTGTCTATACTGTATAATACAATAATTTCTAGTGTAACTTGAGAGAGAGCTCCCCCCCCCCAGCCTTATAATAACCAACATTAAATGGCCATCTTAGGATGTTTACTCCTTTGATGTTTAATTGTCATTAGCCTATACTTTTAAAATGTTCAGTCCTAATTTACTTTTAATGTTAATTTTATATGTTGTTTTATTTATCGATTGTATTAGATTGTTCACCACCCAGGGCCCCTCTTTGAGGCAGATGGGTAGTTATATGACATACAGTATAAATAAGTCAATAAATTTAATGTCTACCAGAGATAGGCTATTTCATACTCAAATGCACAACTTTCTTTTGTTTTGCTTTGCACTAGGCCTTTGCTTATCATGCCAAAAATAAGGGCCAGGATACCTTGGATAAAAATATAACTTAAATTTGACTTACTCAGTGGTGGGATTCAAGTTTTTTTACTACCAGTTCTGTGGGCGTGGCTTTGTGGGCATGGCAGAGGAAGGATATTGTAAAATCTCCAGTCAGAGGTGGTATTTACCAGTTCTCCGAACTACTCAAAATGTCCGCTACCTGTTCTCCAGAACTGGTCAG